GGAGTTGGAGGTTGCTGTGAGCTGTGAAGCCATGGCACTCTACCCAGGGGGATAGCTTGAGGCTCTGTCTCAAAAAAAAAAAAAAAGAATCATTTGACATCTAGCGGGAAGGAAAGAAGATTTAGGTATAAGCTTGATATAGAATATAATACCAATTATAACTATGAATGACCAACTGAACATAATATATAAAACAGTTGACAACAAAATTATTGAACAGAAATAAATGAAAATGCTAATAGTTATTATTGCTGGGTAATAAGATTACAGGTGATTTTTATATTTTATTTTCTGTAGGCTCCTGAGCTTTGAAAATGTCTACAATGACTAAATTACTTTTATATTGAAAACAGATAAACATGATTTTAATTATTTTATGGCAAAATAGCCTAAAACACTAATGGAAAATTTTATGACACATCATAATAGAAATATGTCAAAGTTAATTGTTTTTAAAGCTAAACACATTAATAGTAACTAAAACTGAACAATTAATTGTAGTATGAGGATATTCATAACCTGTTAGATGGGACCACTTCCCTATTTGAGGCCAAGTTAAAAAGTGGGTTAAACTAGAGCCTTCTCGGAGGTCTATTGAGTATATTGTTGGGGTCCAAAAGAAGAATGTTAAGTTGTTACCCATCTTTTCTGTGTAAGAGAAACAAAAAGAATATATTTTAAGGAAGAGAAAGGAAACTGCAGGAGTTTCAGAAAGTCTTAGTTAGGCAATAAAACCCAGTCGGTAGAGTGGCCTACTTCCTAGCAACCTAATGAGGATTTCATAAAGGTGGCATTTCAGTCCATAGGTCATCAGCCATCAGCAAACACAAATTTGAATTGGAAGTTCTGCCAATTATTATAACAAATCTTTAAAGACCTTCCAAATAACCCTTCTATAGAACAAAGCTTCTAAGATCATCGCCTGGCTGGAAGCTAAAGTTTGTGTCTTATTTTTTTTTTAGAGACAGAGTTTCGCTTTGTTGCCCTTGGTAGAATGCTGTAACATCACAGCTCACAGCAACCTCCTACTCCTGGGCTTAGGCAATACTCTTGCCTCCCAAGTAGCAGGGACTACAGCTGCCTGGCTATTGTTTTGTTGTTGTTGCAGTTTGGCTGGGGCCTGGTTCAAACCTGCCACCCTCAGTATATGGGGCTGGCACCCTACCCACTGAGCCACAGGCACCACCCTAAAATTTTTGTCTTGGTTTTAAATTTTGTTAGATCTGGGATTCCCAAATTTGCTTACTTATAAGTAGCATCTGGGATACTTGTGAAATATATAAATTTCTCTGACTATTATGATTCAGTAGGTCTAAGATGGGGCCAGGGAATCCATAACCTTAACAAGAGCTTTAGATAATTTTTATGACCAGCTAGTTTTTTGAAAGACATTGTTTTTCTTTTTTTTTTTTTTTG